CTTGGAAGAGGGCAAATGTTAATCCTCTCCCCAAAGTGGACATGCCTTTAGAGGACTCAGACTACCGTGGTATCAATGTTACTCCCGTTATTGCGCGGTTGTTTGAGAAGGTCGTGTATCGTACGCAAGCACAGTCAGTCATTGAGAACAATCTGAGCCACACCCAATTTGCATATAGACAGGCGGGTAATTGCACAAATGCTTTGCTCGCTATCCAGCACCAGACATACAAGTATTTAGACAGTAGTGACTGCAGCGCAGTGCGAATTTTTACTATGGACTTCAGTAAGGCCTTCGATTTTGTGAACCATACTACCTCTAAATCCGTACATTATCAATTGGTATCAGAGTTTCCTCTATGCAAGACAACAACGTGTTGTTAGCTATAATTTTTTAGGACATTGGAAATCTGTCAATAGAGGAACCACACAAGGTAGTGTAAGCGGACCGTATCTTTTTAATATATTTTTGAATGACTTGGAGATTTTCTTTAATGGCTGCCCTGTTCTTTTTAAATACGCCGATGATTCCACTATAGTTTCGCCTATCACTAGGAACCGTGACCCGTCTGCCGACTTAGTAGGACAGTTCTTAAAGTAGTAGGGGAGGGACCGGTTACTCCTTTTCTTTGCGGATTTAATTAACTTTTTGTGCGGTATAAATTAACGCAGATAACGTCAAGCATCTCATTAAGATAGGATGATGCCATAGTCTATTTTCAGCTGGCAAGGAGCAAGTGATGTCAGAATACTCTAGGGGTTGACGTCATCAAAAAATGTTGACATCATAATCTATAAATAGAATAGTGATATCATGTCCCTACTTGGTCATGATGATGTCATATTTTTTCCAGGTAAGATGATGTCAGGGTTTATTTTTACCTGCCAGTTTTTTTCTATTGTTTCGAAACACATAAAATGGCGCTCCCTATCCAAGCAGTCATTCACGAATTGTCAGAAGAAGTCATGAATTTCAATCAGTTAACCAGTTTCGATTTGGATGTTCCCCAGGAAATTTTTGAACCATGGGATGATTGGGAAAATGAGTTTGAAAAATTACCACAGGTAAGTGCTCTCTGTTTCACTGTATTTTGAATGAACGTTCGGCTCTCTGGTCTAGTATTGTTACCAACTTAACCAAGTTTTACTTTTTTTTAGGATACTGAACGGCCTCACTTAAACGAAATACAGAGTGGAGCAGGCAGGAAACGACTAGCAGAGGTAGGTTTTACAGTACTTTACGTACGTTTCAGATTTTGGTTTTGGGTTGTTCGACAGACTTTATTTATAACCACGACGAGCTCAGGAGCCGTAGCTCGTTAAATCTCCCACGTGAAATAAAATGGTCCAAAAATACAAACAGACAAAAACATAAAAATTAAGAAATTATAAAAATAAAGCGTGCAATACATAAATTTAGCAGTAGTTAATGGTTTTTGCATATTTAAAATTGTATTGAGAAGAAACAGCTTGTACAAAAGTTAT